AGCTCCAAAACCGAAACAATCACAAGACAAAAAGGAAGATTCGGAGATATAAGTCAGGATCTACAAGACTTAATTAAAGAAAAAAACAGAAAAAGAAGAAGAGCCTATCGTACTAGAACATTAGAAGATAAAAGGATTGCAAATGAGCTAGACAGGGAAGTTAAAAGACAACTACGAAATCACAGAAATGAAAGCTGGGACAACTATATCCAAGAATTAGACCCTAACAAATCCGCCTTCTGGAAATTATCGAAAATCCTCCGACAGGACAAGAAACCCATACCTCCCTTACATGGAGTAAACGGGATTGTCCACACGGAAATAGACAAAGCTGAAGTCCTAAAGGACGAACTAGAAAGGGCATGTAGAAATAACGAAAATCCCAATGAAGACATAGACTTTGAAGAAGAGGTAGAAAGAACAGCCAGAAGACTAAAGAGAAGAAAGGGCAGAGTAGGAATAACACATACATCTCCTGAAGAAATAAAAGAGCTAATAAAACTAACAAACGCCAAAAAAGCCCCAGGACCTGACAACATCACAAACAGGGCACTAAAAAATCTACCCAACAAAGCTACTGTCTACATAACGAACATTGTAAACAACATGCTCAAACTAAGATATTTTCCAGATAGATGGAAGGAGGCACAAATTATCATGATTAAAAAACCAGGGAAGGATGGCATTTTTCCGCAAAATTACAGACCTATCAGCCTACTATCATCAATAAGCAAGATAGCGGAAAGAGTTATATTAAAAAGACTCAACGACGAATCGGAAGCACTAGGCATCATACCAGAAGCTCAATTTGGATTCAGAAGCGAACATTCATGCGAACTACAAGTTCTACGTTTTACTGAATTTACAACAAAAGGCTATAACGAAAAAATGTATACGGCAACAGCATTTCTGGACGTCAGTAAAGCATTTGACAGGGTCTGGCATGAAGGACTCATTTACAAAATGAACTCTATGGGATACAGCGAGGCGATGACATGCCTCCTTGGATCATACCTAGCCAACAGAAGGTTCAGGGTTCGAACGGGGGCAACTCTGTCCGAAGTCGGGACCCTGGAAGCAGGTGTGCCTCAGGGAGCTGTTCTGTCGCCGTACCTGTATACCATCTATACGGCCGACACGCCAAAAGAACCAGGTTCCCTGTTGAGTCTTTACGCTGACGACACAGCAATAGCTGTTAGCTGGAGAAATCCAGATCATGCAGCTAATCATCTGCAGAGAGCACTTAATAGATTCGAAAGATGGTGCATCAAATGGAAAATAGCCTTAAACCCGGATAAAACACAGGCTGTAATGTTTAGTCACAGAAGAAGTGTACCGAACCGAGAACTAACGATTGGGAACACCCCAGTAGAATGGACAAACGAGGCCAAATACCTAGGAGTGTTACTAGACAAAAAACTCACATTTACGCAGCATATAAATCAGCAAACGTATAGAGCCAAAGCGCTGAAAAATCAGCTCTCAACGCTTATTGGTAGAAGAAGTAAGCTAAGGTTTAAAACCAAAATCAGGATTGCGAATAGTATTATCCTGCCAGTCCTTTCGTATGCCTCTGCTGCGTGGGGACACACCTGTAAAACAAACAGGAAAAAAATACAAACAGCACAAAATCAACTAATAAGAGATGCCCTGAACTTACCGAGATATGTACCTCTGAGAAATTTATACAGAGACTCAGGACAAACAAGGATCCTTCACACAATGGACAAAAAGGCATACGAACTATTCAACGGACTAAACAACCACCCAAGTAGCATGTTAAGAGAGCTGACTAACTACAACGCAAATACCAGGACGGTACACAGAAGACCTAAACAGCAAATAGCCGGATATAGGGTCCCCAACGAATAAATGAAGAATGAGATGGTCGCAAAGACGTCAAATAAAAGAATGCAGTCATCAGAAAAACAACCACCAAAAAAATATCTATTTTTAGGACTCTGGCGAGAGGATACAGGTGCCAAGGCACTTAGTTAAGGACAATATACACCGGGGTGTGTGGAGGCCATATACACCCTGCAATGCACACCCCAACACACCCACACAAATTAGCATGTAAGAATAAAAGGGTAAGAATTGTGCCGGCATTTTATAGTCCCAACGCCAAGGAAGACCCCCAAACCCAAAAAAAAAAATCGGTTGTTTTTCTTTTAAATTCAGAACTTCAAAAATCAATTTCAATTCATTAAACGTTTTAACGTAAAATTCATCCTATTTTTCTATATAGAAGGCCCGTCAGGCCTTCTATATACCGCTGATGCGGATTAGGCCCTTAAGGCGGATCAAATGAATGCTGATCCTTTTCGCGACACCCGAGCACTGAGGTCATGTGCGGCAAGCATGGGCTCGGTGGCCGGACACACTTCGGGCGCCCAGCCGGCGAGGAGAACAAAATTTACTTTTGCCAAATCGGCGGCTGAGTGACCGAGCACACACTTTTTTCCGGACATGAAGTCGACAGCCCAGGCTGTCGGCTTCATGGACGGAACACACGCTCTTTTTCTTTTTTTTTAGGGACTCCAGTCCCGAAGTGAAGTTAGAGTAAAATCTATAGAGTCAGTAAAGTAAATAGGGAGAAAAGCCTAGATGTGGCTACCCCTACAGTCAGGTGGCATAACCACAGTAATTAAAAACAGGAGGTGTCTCATTACCCAGGGCACCTCAAGTAACTTTCAGATCATAAGCCTCCTCACGTAAGTCACACGATGAGGAGGAGTGGTGGAAAAGCCTGGGAGTCAGATAGGTACCACTTCAACTAGTGAAGTGTGACCGGTTTGATCTTCGGACATGTGGATCCCATACTTAGTTTGGTATACACATGTTCCTAGGGGTAGGGTTGATCGCTTAGCGTGATTGTGTGTGTGTTGTTTAGATATAATTAGTAACTACAATTCCCAAAATGAGAGATCGCTGGAATTAAGTTTACTTTTTACCTGATAATGCGAACTGGTGTAATTAACTGGAATATTTAACTACCTAAGTCATTAACAAAGGGTATGGTAACAGAAAAATTACCTGATAATTCTACGTGATAATGACCATATTGATGGTCAATAATTTCTATTGCGTTCTTTGAGATAGCCGGATCAAGAATTATTGTGAATCAGTGTGAGTTGGTGTGAGTTAGTGTTTTAAAAATGGATGTGCAAATTATTGAAACTTCGAAGGGAAAACCATGTGCATTATATAAAGGGTACAGTTTTCGTATGAAAAAAACAAATAAAGATGGTTCGGTTTTTTGGAGTTGTTTGAAAGAGAAAACTTTACAGAAATATAAAGATATAAGGGACTTAAGGTTGTTTTTAAGGACATTGGCATATATCCAGAAGCTGCAATAAATAGACAATATTTTTTATTCTCAAGATTTTTTTACATTTAACTGTACAAAAAGTTAAAAAAAAAAACGAAAAAAAAACAAAAACAATTTAAAAAAAAAAAACAAAAAAATTAACAAATTAAAAAAAAAACGAAAAAAAAATGAAAAAATAAAAAAAAACATCTTCTAAACACGCCAATGTTTATATTATGTATAAACTATGACAATTCTAATTCTGAATGAAAGTGTGAAGGGAAGATGGTTAATTTTTATTTTTTTACAGTTTTATGATTTTTTAAAAATAATTTTACTAGCCGAACTGTTACCTGATCGTTACGGTAGAATAAAATTAAACGTCGATTACAAGAGAGCGCAAAACGGTCGATATAAGAAAATAATTAGCTATACATCTCCATTACGAAAGTGTTAGAGCGCAAACCGGCCGATTTCAGGTAAGGGCGCAAAACGGTCGAGCGCATATCGGCCGACACCATTGTGTAGTGCTTCATCTTATCTGCATCATTTTAGCTGTATCAAAATCATACATAAAATAATTAAATAGTTATTGTTATTTAAGTGTGGTATATTTAAAACCGAAAAATAGCTTATGCCGTTGTAGAAAACATAGTAATTTAATTCCAGTATGTAATTCTTTTCTAATAAATATTAAGCCACTGACACAAACTAGTTTCATTGACTAGCGACTGCCTCATTTGAGCTGCGAGCCACTGTATTTTCAAATGTTTACATACGCTTTTATAGCAATTTTCTATTAACTTTACCGATAAAACCAACATTTTTTTGTTATTTTTACCCTTATAATACGTTTACTGTTAATTTATACATGTACAAGGAGCAACAAGAGAACAATGTTATTTTATCGGAGAACATTAAATAGATCTGCGGTATGTGGATATCAATTATTGTTTTATATCAAAATATTTTGGAATATATCAGAGCGATGCAAAAATGCTATTTATATTGTTAACATAGGTATAACAGTAATATGTTTATGTTTCATTACGTGTTCTATATTACACTATTAAAAAACAATGCAACGTGAAATATCATTTTACTTGAAATTTGCTGACAACGTATTGATCAAAGTAAAAAATATAAAGTTATTATTAGGTATACCGGGTGGTGAATAGTCAAACGGGCCATAATGAACTCGATTATCGGTAAATTCTAAATCGTTGAATTCATGTTTCCCTAATTATTTTACGTCAAAAGTCATACAAAACTTTTTGTAGAGGACTGAAATCTGTATTAAAAACAAATATTAAAATTGTTCTACGAATTAAATGTACACCAAAATTTTGCAAAAATAGAATACATTTTTCAGACCACCCCGAAAAGTCAGGCCACATGTAGTGCAAAATTGTGTATGATGTATTGATCATGTTGATGTAAGATATTTGACAATATTTGAATTGTCAATATCTTTATTTTATGAATAAATTATAAACCATAAACTTTAATAAATACTAGTACTGCTACTACTGAATAATATATGTTACTTTGTAAACAATAATTTATATTGTTTACAAAGCAATAAAGTTAATAAAATTCACTTAGCTGACGAAAAATTACAATTATGTTGTATTCAGGCAATAGTGCGAGCACTGCCAGATCTTATCTTGTTTCTGTAGTTCCATGACCGTTATCGATCGTTAGATATCATGTTGGCTACCATATTCGCTATTGTGACTTTATTGACAGCATCTCTAAATAACGATGTATTTGATTTTCCATCCCATTGCCTTAGATTTTTCAGCCATGATGTTCTTCTTCTACCAGGACCACGATTACCTTGGATATTTCCCTGAATGTATTTTTCAGGATGTCTCATAATATGACTGAAGTATTCCAGCTTGCGTTTCTTTATTATATTGACCAATTGTGTTGTTTGGTTCAACCGTCTTAGGACCTCTTCATTTCTAACTCTGTCGACCCAGCTTATTTTCAGTAGTCGTCTGTATACCCACATCTCAAAGGGTGTCAAACGTTTAAGGAAAGCCTCATTTAGAGTCCACGCTTCCACTCCATACAGCAGGACAGAAAAGATATAGCAAGATATCATTCGAACTCTAAGGTCAATGCTAAGATCGTGACTGCAAAGTACGTTTCTCATTTTTACAAAGGCAGCTCGAGCTTGTTCTCTTCGGCTTTTAATTTCTGCAATTGGATCCCAGCTCTCATTGATATTACTGCCGAGATACGCGAGTTTCTCTACTCTGTCCAGAGTGGCATCTCCGACTTTTTTACCGTCATCCTATATATAACTTTGTTTGCTAATTATCATATATTTAATTTTTATCTAAACAGGAAATATATTTTATGGATTCTTACACAAAAAAACAACTTAAACGTAGAACTATTAAAATTAGTTAAATATGAAAAAATTATGTTATCGACAGGCTAGCTAAGAATTATAGCCATAAAGTATTAAGATTACCTTCTTACTATTGTGTACTAAATCCAATAGAATTGTTGTTGTCTCAATTAAAAAGTAATTTGAGGAAAAATCAAAATTGACACAAAATAAAAGAAAAATACATATAAGTAGTATATGTATTTTTCTTTTATTTCGTGTCTTTTATATTAAAATATACATTTAACATAGTGAAAAAATACAAAAAACATAATTTTAAACTTATATCGTCTACATTTAAATTGGTATCACTATCATCGCTATCTAAGATTTATTTTAATCTATAACTACCATTTTTAAAAAGTTTGGGAACTGTAAGTATTTTTCTTCTAGTTTTTAACATGCTTTATACATGTTTTCCGACTTATCTGCTGTAATATTATTACATTCGGTCTTAATTAAATCTACAACAATCGAAAATAATTTAGGAGAATTATTATAAAATATTTTTATTATTGCTACTTTTTCCTCAACCTACTATATTTCTTAATCAACTTTATGGTTTTTTAAACAATAAATCACAAAATTAAAATTTTGACAATACAAATATTGTCAAATCTCAGAAAATATCTTCTCAGTATCTTCAAAGTTTTGTAAAATCCTTTGAATTGTTGAATGACTTGGAACTGGTCTATTGAGTTATCTTACCCCAAATAAAGAACTGGCAATTCGCGCACTATTTCCTGAATAAAATATTTTTATTATTGCTACTTTTTACTCAACCTACTATATTTTTTAATCAACTTTATGGTTTTTTTAAACAATAAATCACAAAATTAAAATTTTGACAATTCAAATATTGTCAAATCTCAGAAATATCAATATGACCTAACTCAACACGTCATACATGTTTTTGATGTGGCCTGACATTTAGGGGTTTCCTAAAAAATATATTATATTTTTGCAAAATTTTGGAATACGTTTAGTTCGTAGAACAATTTTATTAGTTTCCCATGACTTTTGGTGCAAAATAATAAGGAAAGTAGGAATTCAACAATTTAGAATTACCCAATAATAGAGTCCTATGGCCCGTTTGACGATTCACTAGCCTGTATAAATATCTAATAAGTTGTCAATCAACCGGACACAGTTTGTTCAAATACCAACGTTCTCGCTTATATTTTAATTTCTGATTAGTTTACAATCAAACATTTTTTGTAAAACCTTTGTATAATAATTATATTCAAATTAGAACAAAACCGTTATACCAAACTTCTTTCATTCTGAAGTACTTAGTGAAAATTATTTATTCTAGTATTTTATATTATTGAAGTGGACATAAAAATTACTCCAAAAAAAAATCCTGAGAAAACAAAATCAAAACAGTGAGTAATAATATTTATCATAACTGGTAACAGCGTTTTGTACATAACATTTACGCCAGCATACCTAATTAAATTTAAAGCGCTGTTGCCGGTTTCATCAAATAAAACGAAAAGAAAATGAGGAAGGAGATTGTACAGAAATAATAAATTTTGAAAATCTGAGAAGCGGAACGATCTCTGAGAAGTTGATTCGGACCATTGCACTTAACGCGGTGCACCGGAAAAAGCCAAATAAATTAGACATGGATTCTGGTGACTATTATACACGCGATAAGACTAAAAAAAAAATAAAGAAGAAGGATCCTAAGGAGGACCGATTCAACAAAAATAAAAAGGCACCAATACAACCTTAAGAAAAACTTTACATCGGCTATTAAAATGATGCAGGATTTGAAGATTTCTTTTTATGGACATTCCAATTTATTACAATCTGCATTTTTTACCAAGTAAGTATTAAGTTATATTTATGTCGGTTAAACTACTGACATGTGGTGAACATGTTCAATATGCCGTTTTCAATGTAAGTCTATTTTACTAGATATTATTGGTTCTGGAAAAAACATGACGAGCACTACACTTGTGTGCGTGTTAACCTATGCACTCTACGCATCTGAATCAAATTCCTTGCTAGGTGATTTGGGTGGTCTCGCAATCAGGTCTTGTATTTTTTTATTCGATATATACTTTCTTCCTTTACATAAGTTATTTCTACATCTCGATCTACACTGTTGTTAGTGATATACCACGGTATATTTAAAATCACCCTTAGTATTTTCGATTGGAACCTTTGTCTAATTTCTATATTACGATTTGCCGCTCTTCCACACAGTTCTATCCAATTAGCTTTAACACAGGCTTTGTATTATTCTTTAAGTACTGTCTCCTCTAAGGAGGTTGGTACTCATCACAGCTATTTTCACTTTTGAGATTGCAGCTCTGAACAAGTCGATGGAACTGAAATTAAACCACTTTCTCAGATTGTTGAGCTAGGCGATGCGTCTTCTTTCAATACTTCGTTTTCCCTGTATTTTTTCCTGCATTATGGTTGGTAGCAACACATATTTATCCCCTCTTATAACGTGGAGATATTTTAACTTTCTTGTGTTAATCGTATTAATAATTTTCATTTCCTTTGTCATCTTTCTGAGGACCTCAACATTTGTTATTCGGTCTACCCAACTTATTTTTAATATTCTTCGATAGATCCACATCTCGAATGCTTCAAGTCAATTGCTCGACCTAAAACACATGTGAACGTAATATTCTTATTTTGAGTTGCAAACTAAGGTCTCTACTGCATAATACTTTTCTCATTTTATTAAATGTTGCTCTAGCTTATACAATTCTTATTTCTTCTGTATACTCGATATTTTCATTAACAATTGTACCAAGATATCTGCATTTTTTTACTTTTTCTATTGAAACCCCTCTTATGATTAAAATATAACCCCCTCTTGTTGTTGTGTTTTGTAAATTGTCATAAATTTTGTTTTATTAGCATTAAGTGTTAGTCCGTTTTCCTTACTAGAATTTACTACATTATCTAAGAGTGTCTGTAGATCTTGTATGTTCTCTGCAATTAGTATAGTATCATCGGCATATCTGATATTGTTGATGGGTCTGCCGTTAACTTTTATTCCAATTGTTACATTTTCAAGTGATTTTTTAATCATTTTTTTTGAATATAGATTGAACAATAAGGGGGCGAGTATGCAACCTTGCCTTACGTCTCTTTTTATCTCTACTTCCTCCGAAAGTTCTTTGCCTACTCTGACTTTTGCTGTTTGGTTAAAGTAGAGATGAGTTATTATTCTTAAGTCTTTTTTGTCAATGTGTTTATCTTTACGTAACTGTATAAGATGGTTGTGTTGGACTTTATCGATCGCCTTATTGTAATCAATAATGAGGCATGAGGACGTTAAATCTAAATAATGTCTCTCGTGTACCCATGGCATTCCTAAATCCAAATTGGGTTTCAGTGATGTCTTATTCCACTTTTCTGAAAATTATTAAATGGATAATTTTTAAAAATATTTTGAGTGTGTTAGTCATTAGACCTCAGCCTCATAAAAATGACGTTGCGGGGTTCAAAAGCCGCAGTCAGAGTAGAAGGAGAACTGACTCCCCTGTTTAACATCAACATGGGAGTAAGACAGGGAGATGCCCTATCAACCATGCTATTCAACCTAGTTCTTGAGGCAGTCATCAGAAAAACCAATATAACCGGCCATATAAACACCAAATCAGTTCAAATTACTGCATATGCAGACGATGTAGCCATCATTAATAGAAATAAGCCACGACTAATGGAAGTGTTCAAACAAATTGATCCTGAAGCAAGAAAAAGAGATCTCAAAATAAACGAAGCAAAAACGAAGTATATGACAGTCAAAAGAATAACTGACAATGAAAATAATATCACAATAGACAACTATACTATCGAACGAGTGGATGCCTTTACATATCTCGACACAGAAATCAATCAGAACTCCGTAAGTAGCGAAATTAATGCACGTATTTCCAGCGGGAACCGTACATACTATGCTAATAAAAGATTGATGACATCGAAATTATTAGACAAAAGAACCAAAATGACTATCTACAGAACACTGATTAGAACCTAGTAACCTATGGATGTGAAACTTGGGTAATGACGAAAAAAGATAAAGCCCAACTCAGGACATTCGAGAGAAAAATACTGAGGAAAGTATATGGCCCGGTACAAGAGAAAGATGGCAAATGGAGAATCAGGAGAAACGACGAGGTTAATGAGTTAAATGAAGGTTATGACATTGTAAGATTTGTGAAAAGTCAAAGACAGTCATGGCTGGGACATGTGCAGAGACAAAACGATGCAAAAACAACAAAAAAAATGTTACAATGGAAGCCTATAAGAAGGCGAAAAAAAGGAAGGCCCAGAACGAGATGGTTGAATGACGTGAAAGACGACCTGAAAACAATGAACATAAGACAATGAAGAAGAAGGGCACAAGAGAGATCTGAATGGAAGGACATAGCCAGACAGGCAAAGATCCATCCAGGGTTATGATGCCAAAACAGGAAGAAGAAGAAGTCATTAGACTAATTATACGGTGGTCATTACATTCCCTTGCATTAGGTTTTTTTGGTAATGTAATAAATGTTGATTTGAGCCAATCTCTCGGAATAATACCCGTATTATATATAGTATTTTATAAGTCTACTAATACATTGATCTGATATTCTGATATCCCCGCAGTTTTATTAGATTTTGCCAGATTTATTGCATGTATTATTTCAACCTGAGTTATATTTGAACCTATATCATGTTCCTCGCAATCGTTCATGCTATCTTGTTGTGTCCTGTCGTTCTCAAACAATTATTGGACGTGTTCTCTCCATCTGCTTAGTTTGCCTTTGATTATTTTATCATTTGTATCAACCAGGGTGTTACTATTATTGGACCGTCTTATACCTGCTAATTATTTCAGGCTTTGTATAGGAGTAATTTATTCTGAGTAACTGGAATTGTTTGCCTATTAGATAGTATATTCTCACTTT